CCGCCGCCGCCGCCGCCCGGGGTTCGGGGCCCAGCAGCGGGGCCCCGGGGCGCCGCGTCCCGCCCGTCTGCCCTGCTGCCGCCCTCACCTGCGCCCGGGTCCGCTGGCCTTCAAGGCCGGGACTCCAGCCCGGACGGAGAGGGGACGGCCAGGGAGCGCGAGCACCTGAGGATAGGAGCTGGCCCTGGACTGCCTTTTCACCCCCAGGTGATGAGTGAGGTCGGGAGAACGGAAGATTTTAAAAGCCACCGGGGCCTCCGTATTGAATGAAAGACCCAGTGCAAAGGCATCACCATGAACACGAGCAGTAAGTGGATCCTCCTCTCCTTTGCCATGGGAACAGGGGTGGGGGCTGGAGGTGCAGGAGCCTGCGCCGGCTGACTGGAAGGAGGAAAGAAGCCTGGCATCAGTGTGGATACCTGACCCCCACTCCTTCTGGTGCTTTCTGAGCTTCCTGGCAGAGGACTAGCTTTGGGGGCTGGCTTTTCATGATGATTTTGCTAATGTTCAATCAGAGGCGCCTGGAGCCTCCGTTCGGAAGGCTGCTGTCTCCTTCTAGCAATGCTAGGAAGGCCTAGGAAGCAGCACTGTGGCCATTGTCTGGCACGGGGCTCCAGCAGACCTTCCTGCCCACATCTGAAGAGCCATGGATGCCCTGCTAGTCCTAAAACAGGGGAAGGCAGGGTGGCTGGCTTGTGGGTGGCAGGAGCGGGTAGCAGGATGGAAAAGAGCTATTTGATAAACAAATGCTTGTGAAGGCACCTTCGGTCTGAAAGCTGTGAAGGAACCAGCTCCTCCTCCTGGTGAGGCCACTTTCTCCACCTGGCTGCCGGCTGACAACCCACCCACTCCAGCCCTCTCCAGAAGGAGAGAAAGGGACAGACCCTTTGGGTGACAGGTCTGTGCTAGAGGCAGCAGCCGTCTTGCAGAACCAGGACCAGACATTTTGCTTCTGGACTGGGCCTCACCGGCTGCGAGACGCCCTGAGCAGCACGAGGAGTCCCAGGCTCCCACTCTTCAGCAGTGTTCCCCTGACCACGCTGAGCCCTGCCCTGGGAGAGCAGAGCAGACTCAAGTCCCTCTCCACTTGGCTGTCAGCTTAGCTGTCTAGACCACTCCGGTGTCAGGTGGGGCTGTGGAGCTCTTGGACCTTTACCAGAGTTCACTTCCCTGGGTTTCGACTTTGTTACTAGTCCTGAGTCTGCATCCCTGATGTTCATCTGTAAATCAGAAACCCTTAAATTAGAGACCCTTATGATCGAAGAATCTACCAGGTTTGGTTTTTTTTTTTTTTTGCTACAGCTAAGTAGCAAGGCCAAAATAATCAGCATCTTATTGAGACTGTGTCCAGCCAAAACCCAGTGTTTCCTCACCCCCGCCCCTCATTTCAAGGCCCTTGGCATAGAGAAGAGAAAAACAAAAGCAAAAGCCAATGAGATGGAAGTGCAATATATTTATTTACTATGTGCCTGTCTGACTCATCCCTCTGCCGTCTTCCTTTGTGCATTACATATCTATGCTAAGCAAGCAAGCAAGCAGGGCTGGACTCCCCTGCCTCTTTCAGCCAGAAAATTTTGCCTCTTAATTTTGACTGTCTGGATGATGTTTTGGTTCCCTACCAGGCTCAGGAAAACAGCAAAACCCCATAAGCCCTAGGACTTCGAGGGCCATGCATTTGTGGGCTTCCAGACAAATAAAGATGTGAACTTGCCTGTCACTTTCCCATTATGCCTAGGAGAAAATATGTTTATGGGAATCTTTTTCTACCAAATAATTGAGGAAGAGATGGCTCATCTATTTTTCAAGGAGTGAAAAAAGGGCAATAAACCACAGACTCTGCCCTCTTCTCCATGGAATACTAAGACACTCTTGTCCAGTTAGCAACATGGAGTATTCCAGAAAAAAAGGAAATTTTTTTTTAACCTTTCTAAAGAAACAACTATCAATAGAGTTGAATAGTGCAGAAGATGAGAACTGACAAAAGTGCCAGGCCAGCTTCATCTACTCTTTCTAAGCAAGTAGAGTATTAATGTTGCAAGAGTGATGGGAAGTAAGCAGGGACTGGACAGGGCTGCCTGGGCAGCTCCTGGGCTCCCGGCGAGAGGAGACACACTCTCAGGGAATAGCTGAGGCTCACTGCAGAGGAGATGGCAGCTCTGGGACTGGAAACCACTGCCATCTCCCACAACTTGGAGAGTCTGCAAACAGAAAGAGCAGAAATCGGGCCACAGGGCAGTGACAAGGTCCTGGGTTCAGTGGGATGGAGCATTGGTAGGAGGTTCTTGGCTGACCTGAGCTAAACAAAAATGCTCCCCTTGGAGATGTGAAATTATTAACCCAGTTTTTATGCAGGAAACTGTCCCTAGCAGAAACATTTCCTTAGGCTTTCTTTCACCCCTTGTTATGGGGTCCATACTCCTCCCACCCCCAGCCACCCCGCTGAGCTAGGTGTTTCCCTTCCTTCATCTCCCCAGACTCTCCCACCCAAGCTGTGAGTGAGTACTGTTATTCCAGTTTAGTAGGAGAGACTTTGTAGTTAGTATTTGGCAATTTCACATCATGTAGTTAATTGCTGGATTCCAAAGGTGCTTGGATGTATAATGTACCTGACAGTGAGAATAATTCCTAATCAGCGGTTGCAATGCCAGCATTGAAGTACAGGCTGATCAATTTCTAATTGCATTGTCTGGAGAAGAGCGCAGGTTGTGGTTGTGAGTTGGTGGAGCGCAGACCACAGAATCCGAGTGTTGCCATATCTTTCTCTTATTAGCTGTGTGATCTTCAGCATAGTTGTCTCATCTGCAAAAAATAGAATGGACTGGAGACTATATGTTAATGCTCTGTGTAAAATATAGTAACGTGGACTAGCCTGGAACTGTGTGAGCACTCGGGTGGCCAAGCTGTCGTCATCACTCTGGTGATACTGTGTCATTAGCATTAACTTTAAGATATTACCAAGCAGGTCACTCAACCTCTCCAGTGTCAAACCTTCACCATGGATTGCAAAATGTCCCTGGAGTGTGATCTTTGAGGATTAAATGGGATTACAAGGAAATTATTTCTAAACATGTGTAAGTTGTTTTTATTAAGAAACCCATTTCTCAAATGACACAATCAGGAGTGCACAATCAGTGACGCCTCTGTGGGAAGTTTGGTTTTGCTGAATCTTCTTCAATCTCTCTGAGCATTGGAATACCAATCCGAGGGCAGGGGCCAGGGAGATGGCTCAGTAGAATAAGCGCTTCCCTGGCAAGCGCAAGGGTCTGAGTTCAATCCCTGGTTCTGCCACAAAAAAAAAAGAAAAAGAAAGAAAGAAAGAAAGAAAGAAAGAAAGAAAGAAAAGAAAAGAAAAGAAAAGAAAAGAGAGAGAGAAAGAAAGAAACCAATCCGAGGGCACCTAGGAGAAAGGGTGATTTGGAGCTGATGGGTGAGGTGGCAGACAGACCTGGGTATAGACAGACTTTCTTTCCTCCTGGGTGCCCCCAACCTAATTCCAAGGATCTGTTATTTGTCCCCTGACATATAGAGGCACCCCTAACTGGTCTCTCTTCATCCACTCCAGCCCCCTCTAGCCGTTCCCCTAAACCTGCTCTCCGCATCATCTCTGTAGGGTCCCATGTGACCTGGCTCTGACCTTCTCACCAATCCCACTGCTTCCATACTACACCATTTTTTGTGTCACTATCGCATTTGCCCCTTTCTGTTCTCTCAACGGGCTTGTTCCTCCTGCCTTGAATGGTTCCTTCCTCCTAGAAAGCCCCCTTCTCATAGGACCAGCCCTCTGCTGCCCCTTCCCACCCATGACCAGTCTGGTCTCTTCTCCCTCCAGAGCTTCAGAAGCCCACCCAAGCCCCCCAGTCCTGCTAAGGTCCCTGCAAGGTAGGCTCACAGCACACCTTGGTCCTGTTCCTTCCAAACCTGGTCTCTATTATTGTCTACTCCTCTATCCACGTTGGTCACTTATTGAAGCCCATCTACCCAAACAGCCATATGGGCTGTGGCATGTGCCCCACCTGTAACACATTTGGGGAATTTATTTATTCTGGTTTGTACACTGGGCATTTCTATGACTGGGACTGTCCACTCTTACATCCTGACCCATGGGTACTAACCATGAAATGTACACTCTTGTACAACAGTATATCTTTAATTATTCCTGTTGGTGTTCTCATTCCTACACTGACACCAAGACTTCCAAATTTAAGGGACACTGAGTTGACATCAGGTTCTAATAGTCCTGAACACCAGAGTCATCTCTGTGCCCCACAAAATCTAGTATTCTTCATTTACACTGGAATCCCCACAGCTCCTGAATGCTATGACTTTCCTATGTGCAAAACCCAGGGCTGGCTTATCCTTGAGATAGGATACATCATGGGCCATGGTACCAGTACAGGACCCCTCGTGTTGTAGGCCTCCTCCTGCCTCTGGCTGTGTCAGTGTCTTCAGCATGGGTCGGCATGCTAACAAATTCCTCTTTAGGAGTAGACCTTGTTTTACTGGAGAGAGTATTCAAAGATCATGTAAGCCCACAAAGGCATCATGGAGAAGTAAGAACCTGAGCTTTGCAATACAGGTGCCTGAGTTCAAGTTCAGGATCTGCCAGGTCCTCTGTAGTCTTAGACAGAAAAGAGAACGTCTCTCTAGCCTGAATTTTAGAATATATAAAATGTTATTGTCTCAGTTACTCTTCTCTTGTTGCTGGGACAAATACCCGACACCAAAAATGAAGGAAGGAAGGGTTTATTTCGCTAACAATTACTGGAGGTTTCAGTCCATACTCAGCTGGCTCCAAGGCAGAGTGACACAGGGCAGAGGGCAGCAGTTCATAGCGGCGGGAAAGAGAAAAAGGGCAAAATGGGGAAGTAGCAGCAACAGTGGCTACAGAGAGGATGTCTGTCTCTCTTAAATTGCATTCAACCTGTATGCCCCAGGCTGGGTGTAGTATTCACACCCATAATCCCAGCAGTACTAAAACCAATAATCCCAGAGGATCATGAGTTAGTCTGAAACTCTAGAAGTCCCCGTCCCATGACTACATGAGGCTTTTGGGGGGACGACTAGACACAAACCATAAAAGTGATCAATAAAACGCCAATGTGCAAGGTTCTTGTGAGGTTTAGGTAGAGTACCAGAGACATTCACTGGCATCAGGTCTTAGTGCATGGAATTGAATCTGAAGGTGAACTGGCCATTAAGTAAAGCAAAGTTCTGAAAGGAAGATATCATAAAAAATACAGGCTCTCTGATTGGAAGTTACCATGTCTTGCAGGTATAGTAGGTTTTGTATATAGGAAATCAAAGCCT